ATGACCGAAAAATGACCTGAAAGAGTCGGAACGCCGCAGAGCTGCGACTTTGTGCTCTTTGAAGGCAACAACGAGACGTGTGTTGTGTTCTCAAGCTTACGGCTCTGTAGTGGACAACAAGTAACAACTGCAACCTAAAAATCATAAAATAATTGAAATCAAAGAATCAAAATCAAAGATTTCTTAGAAACAACATTTAAACCAGAGATGTGGAAACAAACTGGTAAATCCTGAGAAACCTGAATATAGGAAAAAGAAGCAGTTTCAGCAGCGTGTCTGTGTGTTTGCACGTGACGCAGTGATGCAGCTGCAGGAAATGAGAGAAATCTCAGCACGACTCTCTGAGCATCAAATTTAAGAAATGACAGAAAAGTTTTGTTCATTCACAGAAGACGTCCTTTATACTGTGACAACAGCAGGTAGAAAAACAAATCATTGAATCGCTTATTTAAAATAGTATGAGGACGAGGTCTGTGTCTGTAGGAAAAGTTGTAAAAATGTGGGAAATTGCCGTTAAAAGTCCAAAATTTCTGCCCTCCTTCAAATTTCCTCACACCGTCCATCCTGATTGGATGCTTTGCCGGGCTGATTCTGGCTCCCGAGCCTTATGTTTGACACCCCAGAAAGATGTTTTTTTGTTTCTTGTTAGTTTTCTTGTGTCAGTGTTGTATTTTAGTTTCTCCTGTTTTTACTTTGAAGGTCAGGAGTAGCTCTTTATCCCAGATGCAGCCCCGTCATTGCTGGATTGTCTGTTTTGTGTTTCCACCACTGACAATAAATAAATGAATAAAACAATAATTGCCAGTGTAACAGGGTCATAAATCACATTGTTATAATCACACAAAATGTGTCCTAAACCCCCAAACTGTTCCTTTTATACCTGACTTTTAGGACCTCCAAGCCTGTAGTTATTATCAGTTAGAGCCCCTCCTCATTCTTTTCTTCTTCTTCTTTGGTGCAATCCTATAAATACAGTGTACCCCTTTTGCCTCTCCCCTTTTCTACAATTCCCCTGTGGGAGAGGTGGGTGTCATTACTTTCCAACACCTTAAAACACACATATAATGCATATTTAGCCACCTGGATGTTTCTGATTGTGATTTTAGTTCAATTATTGTCATTATTAAGCCTGTTTTTGTTAGATGTTATAAGTGTGTAGTATGTGTGTATCATAAATGTGTTTTAGGCGCCATAAATGCTAGCATGGATATATACTCCTTGCTAGCTTGGATGTTGAGCTAACCCTCTTCCCCACTGTTTGTATTTGGTCATAGGAGCTGGAGTGGGCAAATTATTTACTTGGAGGTCTTTCTTTCTTTTACCTTTTTTATCAGACACAACGCAGAATCACACCGGTTACACCAGGCGTAGCCACGTTTGTATCTCAGAGAACTTTCTAATGACTTTTTCAACTTCAACTTATTTTCTCAGAATTTTCAGCTGGACGTCAAAATTCTGAGATATGAAACGTATGGAGGAATTCACTCGTCCTTGTCTTCATCACTTCATCCAGCCTTCCTGCTTCCACCTTATGCAGTTCTGTGTTTCTTTCTTGTGTAGTCCAGGCCGTGCTCATCAGCGTGTAAATAAACCTCAGTCCTTGTTTTGTAGTTTTGCATGCAGTTAATCGTAACAGTGTAAACGTGGCTCCTGCATTAGTGGTGCCTTCACACATGTACAAGTTGACCTGAACGACAAAGTGATGTCTGTGGTATCAAAGTGTCCTCTTGTTATCACCTCTTCTCACTTATTATGTCCTCAGGCCAAACCTGCAGCTTTATATATTTTAGAAGTGGATCCATGTGGGACCAGAATCATTAATATTCAACACTGACGCCTGCTTCTGCTTTCAGAGGAACTTCTCAGCTTTTCTGCAAAGAAATGTAAAAATCTGAGACGAGTCAGCAGATTCACGGCATCGGTGATGTGCAGAGAATCTCAGAGTAGACAGCGGGAGACGGCGGAGGCTGAGCTGCAGAGCCAATGACACATATGGACGTTCACGCGCTCCTTCAAACACCTGAAAATCTTTCTGAATCGGCCTTTGTGATAAAATAAGCTCACAGTGTAAAAAAACGACACGCGTTCTCACACAGGAAGGTGACTAAGCTCATGAAACACTCTGCTCATGCGCTCTGATTGGTTAGTTATAAGGATTCAGGACAGGAAGCCTTGTGAAGATTAAAATGTTCACTCGTCTGCTCGCTGTGAGAAACTAGTCCCTACTTTTGTTTCATCCACAAGCTTTTATTTTGGAATCAGGCTATGCTGTAGCTTCACTTAAACTCTGGAACTGTCTGCTCCTTCAAATTAAGACGTCACCAACATCTTTAAACCTGCGTAAAGACACAGCTGCTCTGTTTTATTCAGCTGTGCCGCACTCGTGCTGTTTTTACATGTGCTTATGAATAACCTGACCTGACACGACTTCCCTGGATGGCGCCTGTTTTAAAAACAGAAGAGAAACTTCCACGTGTGCAGAAGAAGCAGCTGGTTGTGGGAGCTGAAGGCGATGCTCTCAGGAAGCTGCTCCTACAAACTCTCTGCAGCTGCTGACTTCATGCTTCAAATTACAATGGCAGATGCTGTAAAGCAGCAAATGGTGCCGTAACATATCGCCGACTCACAGAAAGGTGTTTTATTATGATAGGATCTGCCGCCGTGCGGCCTCATGAACACTCTGTGGTCAGTAGCGTCTCCTCCCACTCATTAATGGTTCTCTTTCGGTGCTGTTTAAGATCCAGCACACATTTCAAAAGGTTTGAGAATCAATCATCAGGAAGCTTTACTAACAGGAAGTTAGGGCATTTAAGGTGAGAAGTGTAACGGTCAAGGAGAGGGATCCAAATCAGGAGAGATGGAAGCAGAGGAAAATCCAAAAGGCAGGAGTCATCCACAGCTGGGCAGCCAGTGAAGGCAGAAAGTCCAACACAAGCCGAGAACACAGAAGAAGCACAGGAGCGGCGGCTCCAACACTAAACAACTACACTGAGAGCGAGTGTGTGAAGTGAGACAGGTGGAACAGGAACAAATCAGAAGGTAAAACGGATTTCAAAATAAAACAGGAAGTGTTCCTGGTGACTTATTACGTTCTTCAGTAACAAATCACCTGCGTAGCTGCACGGCATCGTGCATTGTGAACGATGAGCGTTAAACTCCAAACAGATGGTGGAGAAGAAAAACACTTAAAATGAAAATGATGTTAAATATGAAAATATCAACACTACAATAGATGTTCACATAGTTTTAAAATACGGCAAATTAACACTGAAAAAACTTTGTGTAGCGCATTGTTGTACATTACAAATAATACACACTGTTCTACAGTTCATAACAACTATTTTAATAAAATGATAAAACAACACCTCATCCAGCAGGCCACCACCTCCACTGCCTCCTTTCAATGTGGAGCAGTAGTGGCTGCAGTCTGAGCCCCTCCTCACTCTGAGGAGCCCATCCACCTTCCAGGAAGCTAATTTCTGGCTCTTACATTTAATCTCGCTCTTTTGCCTTTTAAAATACAGAGCAGTAACAGGTTTAACAAAAAGATGCTCCCTACATGTTTCTACAGCAATGTCGGAGCTGCAGCGCCATCTGGTGGCAGGTGGTTACATAGCATTTAGGACACAACAACTTTGGCATTTGGGCATCAGTTTAAATATTAATTTGATTACATGACTAATACATCAGGTTCTGACCGGGGACAAAAGGACGGTTAGTTTCTAGTCGACTAGTTGTGCACATCACTAGAAACTCAACATCACAACAGGAGGATAGAAGGAAGACGGAGATGAGAGATAATGAGGGAAGAGGAAATGGGCGGGGCCTAAACACAGCTGATCGTTATTAAGATAACCACAGCGCAGGCTACCAAAATAACACAGGAAATAAGACAGCCTGCCTAACACAGAGGAACAAAAGGAAACGCAATAATGTCTAAGAACAGCAAACTAACAAATCAAAGATCACCTGAAATGTAAGAGCTGGATAATAAAACAGGCTGTCTCCAGTTTTTTATGTTCTTATGTTTCCAGTGGTTCTTGTTTACATTTGTCTTAAAACCACTGAGTGTTTTCTCAGTGGGAACGCTTTGATGGAAAAGGTGAATTTGATCGCTCTTACCTCCCTCTGTGCTCTTTCAGCATTAGTTCATCAGCTCGTGGCTTTTAGCGTCTCTGTGAGATTGTTTTAGGTCTTTGTGGTGATTTGGCTTCAGCAGGTGGTTGTTTTTGCTTCACTTTGAAGACTTTTTTTTTTTTAGTTTTCAAGGTTTAAACTGATTTGCTGTGTTTTTTGCTTCGTTGGTTAATTTATTATTATTATTTTTTAGTTATTTTTGTCTCCTTGTGGATTTTTGTTCTCTTTGGACTCAGTTTTGTGGGTTTGTTGCTTCTCTCTGCTTGTTTTCTGCGTCCTTTCATTCTTTTATCTATCAGGCAGAGCCTCTGACCCCTCCTGGCCTCTGCGCTGAAACACGGAAAACCACAGCTGACGCGCTATCGCAGCCATACGGGAGATTTTAAAGACACTTCATTCTGATTTTATTGAATTTTTACAAAAAGTCCAACTTCTAGAAAACGTAAACCCATAAAGCAAAGGTCAGTGGTGAGATTTGCGCTTTAAATAATGTTTCTGAAGAATCTGAAGTCCGCTCCGTGTTTCCTGTTGTTTAACCCTTTAAGGAGCGGAAGCGTCGTCTTTATGTAACTCTGTTTTTCTGTTTTGCCTCTGAAATAAAGAGCCAGTTTCCCTGCACATGCATGTGCGCACAGGCGCGTGCACTTCTACATGACTGTGCAGATTGTCGTGCGCGCGTCTGCATCTACCTGTGTTTACAGGCGCGTTTTCCTCCTGAATACGCGAAGGTGGACGCTTTCTTGAGCGCGTGCACGTATGCATGCCTGGATGTGTGAGTGCGCGCGCTCGGGGCGTTTGCGTTGCTGCTGCTGAAAGCCTCCCTCTCTCTCCCTCTCTCTCTCTCATCTTCCTCCCTGCTGCTTCTCCTCCGCTTCAGTTTCAGTATCGACCTCCTTCGCGCAGCATCTCTGCTCTTCATCCTCCGTCTCCATCCTCCCCCTCTTCCTCCTCCTCCGCCTCAGCACCGCTTCCTCTGCAGGTGGATGGAGGCTGGGAGCCCCGGAGACAGAAGCCATGGCCGGGATGCGCTGCCGGTAGGGCTCGGTGGTGTTAGCGCGCTCTGCTTTCCCGTGTGTGTGTCGCCAGGTCTTTGTCTATCCCGTGTGTGTGTGTGTTTATGGGGGAGTGCTGGCTGTTTGGGAAGTGGGCAATTGTTGCTCTATTTGACAGATTATTGATTGACGGGACCGCCCGGTGTGATCAGGTGTGTTTGCGCCTCGTGTCGCGTTACACGGAGACTGTGTTCCCGGGAAAACGCGCTGTTTTTGCGCATTAGTGGGTTTATATCCCACTCCGCGTCGGCCTCACCTCTCCGTGTGTTCTCGTGGTGATCAGCGCGTGCATGTTATGCGCGGTTTTTACGCACATTGTCCTCGCGCTGCTGTACCAGATGCCGATGCTCTCCTGTAGTAACGCTCCGTTTCTGTCTCCTCTCCCTCCATCACTCCTCCTTCCTTCCTGTTCTCCAGTCACACTGCTGAGCACCTCCCTTCGCGCCGGGGACCACATCCTTAAATGACCCGCGGCTGAGGAGAGGGGGGTGTCTCCGGATCCAGCGCCCGGATCATGGCATGCTGCCCACACCGGGCATTCAGCACTGACCATGGGGCTCCGGTCCAGGACCGTCGTTAGCGGCTCGGACGAGCAGAAGAAGCCCTCCGGCGCTCCTCCCGGGGACTTACTGGACCAAAGCACCGCAGGAGCGGACAAGGATGGCGCCCTGCTGCTGGTGGCTCCGGGCCGGGATGACTACAAGCGGAGCTCCCAGGGCATCGGCATTGGGCTGCTGGCCAAGACCCCCCTGAACTACGCCCGGCCGGCCAAGAGGAATAACATCCGCAAGAGGAAGATCCAGAACCTGATCTACGACGCGCTGGAGAGGCCGAGAGGATGGGCGCTGCTCTACCACGCGTTCGTGTGAGTATCTGAATGCTGAGAGAGAGCCTCCCCTCGGCTCTCCGTTCGCACTTTGTTTCAGCAGTTTTCAGGCTTTAATGAAGCTGGTGAGGCTGTAACTTAATATTGCTGCTGGAAATGAAAAGCTTCCTCTTGTATGTCGCTGTAGCTGCTGGTTATGTAAGCGCTCCGCAGGCTTCAGCTGCTGGATCGTTTCTCTGGTGTGTGTGTGAGAGAGAGAGGTTTCACCTGTGCAGGTATCCTGTTTGGTGGATGGGTTTAAATCTCCTCTGAAACCACTTAAACCCACAAGAGTTACATAAGTGGAGCTCCAGCAGGTGGCTGATGGTGCTGAAGTGTGTTACCAAACTCTGAGCTCGCTGTGAGCGGAGGACTCGGTCAGTGATGGTCCGAGTGACCGTCAGCATCTTTGTTTCCCGCAGTGTTGGACTTTTCTGCACAACTTACAATCACATAATCACGATTATTCAATTCAGTTTTAAAATTCAGATCACAATAAAACAGAAAACAAAACTGCATAACTGAATAAATGAGACTGGATTTTGATTTGTGATGGAAATATTTTTATTTATGTAAAAACACAAAAACCAGGCAGCAGGTGAGTCATAGTGCTGCTGAGCAGGTGTGCTGAAAAGACGGCCGACAGTCGGACCGATTCCTGTCCAGAGAAAAGATCCCAGCGTGCACAGAGGCCTCAGCATTAGGGATGGGTACCGGTACCGGTTCTGACATGAACGGTAGTAACCAGACCGAAAAGCAGCGCACATTTTGCTGCTTTAAGTATGGTTATTTACGTAAGGTGAACTAGCAAACACCATCATAGCTACATGCGGCTGTCTTCTTGTTTGATGGCAGATACTCCCTTCACCCTGGACAAAAAGGCTAAAATGACCAAAGAAAAAGTGGAAAACAGTTAAACATGAGAGGTTTTTGGACAAAGTTTGTGTTTTTTCCATTGTTTAAGCACCGGTTTGAGCACCGTTTAAGCACCGGCACCGTTTCAAAGGAACCGGTTTGGTATCGGATAAAACCTAAACGATACCCATCCCTACTCAGCATCCTGCGGCTTCTGAGGTGGCGAGGCTGGTTTGTTTAGCCGTGATCTGAAGAACGATCAGAACACAAAAAAAATCACCCGTTGGTTTGAAGACATGGACACAGATTTGTTTTTCATAACAGATTTGAAGCTAATATCTTTCAGGAGGTAGCTTCACATCTGCAGCCAGATGTGCAGACTCTTCAGAGGGGATGTGTCACCGTGGCAACTAAGAAAAGGTGAAAACCACTGTAGATTAACGGTCTCTGGGATCTTTCTCTAAATCTGAGCAACTAGTTTAATTTTCTAACCATAACCAACTGGTTTTATTGCCCAAACATAACCAAACCATTACTGTTAATGATGATTAATAGCAGATCAATCAATAATCTAAATCTGTCCCAGGGGGGAGTTGAATTGAGGTCTCTGGTGTGAGTGGCAAGATGATTCCCTCCACTGCTGAAGTGCAGATTCAGCTGTTGCAGCTCGTGGAGAGGCAGCAGCTGCATGAACTCTGTTCTCGTCCTCCTGCTTTAAGAGGCGTCTTTGGTTTTAAAGCACTTCCTGTAGTTTTGAAATCGCTCCGATGTGACGAATCTGATTCTTGCTGGGACTCGACTTTGAGTCAAGAATCTACTACATTACAAAACATCCACATAGACCCTTTCATGTTGTTCCTGCTGAGTCAATGTGACAAAGGTGTAACTTTTGTGTTTGCCTGCTGCAGGTGTGGGGGTCAGAGGTCAGAGTTCTGTGTGACATCACGCCGATCAGGGAATAACCCGATTAAATGTGGACACGCTGACTTGATCAAGTCCTGGATCGGACAGGTGTAAATGTGTTTCTGCGTTTTGGGTCTGTTGCAAACATATTTTTGTGTTTTGAGGTCAAAAAGGTATTTTACCGTCATTGAGCTGCGATCGAAACCTGAAACGTCGGCTCAAATTTTTGTTTGGTCTGCAAACATTTACAGGAAAACTGTTGGATCTCCTTCTTTTTGTCCTCCTGCACACGGTGTGAAGAATGCTGCTGACTGAGATCACAATAGTGCGTGATGATCATTTAAACTCCCAACTCAGAAGATGAATTTAATTTATGCCTAAAACTGCGTTAACAAGCTTGTGAAACCAACCTTGCAGTGCTGCCTCTGTTTGACTTCACTGCAGGTTTTCGTCGTGGTCACGTCTTCAGGCTTTTATGTTGCCAGTTTGAAATGATTACAGGTTTTACTTTTCAAATTTGCATCACTTTGGGCGAAAAGCGACCACCCCGCTTCCTAACCTGTAACAAAGTGATCTTTGTTGTGTTTCGATCACATGGCTGTGCTGATCCGGGTTAATCTCACCACTGTAATGAGAAGGCTGGTGTAAGAGTCTCGCTTGCTCTTCATTCGTAAGCGCAGCTCTGTTTGAATCTCATTGTACTGCAGTCGGCACCTCCATAAGAAGGAATTTGTATTTTCAAAGCTGAGGTCTTAAACTCGTCTTTATGAGCCTGTGAAACATCAGAAAATGTGTTTTATTCATTAATAATCTGTTTACAGTCAAGAAGCAAACGGATGGTTTAGTTCTTGTTAAATCCAGTCAGCAGCAGACGACTGAGGCGGTTACTTTAGCTTCTCAGGTAAATGTTGCCACACTTGGAGCTGCAGATGCTTCCTGGGAAATCTCCAGATTCCCGAGCAGCAGGAAGCTTCTACATGAATAACCTAATGCTGAGTTGTGGCTGTTTTCAGGTTGCGTAACAGCGTCCACGAGCTGTAAAAAGGGCCTAGTTTTAGTTTGGGTGAAGGTTTCACCTCACCTGAATCCAGTCGAAGCTGACTGTAATAAATATTCTGCATTTCTCGGAGCTGTCGACCTTTTCTTTGCTCCTTGTTTGGACACACTTCAGCTCTTGGGTCTCACGGATGCTGACAGAACGACAGATGATCGCAGCTCCAGGAAAACACCTTTTGTTTGTTCTCACAATTCACCGTTGTTCCGAACGAGAGCTTTTATTTAGCAGCCAGAGGTGCAAACTCAACAGCTGCAGCCACAAACAACAAGAAAGCACCGGCTGGTTTCTTCTTCCTATTGTTTATTTGGCCAAGATTACCTGATGGATCAGTGAAGAAATGACTCATTCTCTTATTTATTCTCGTAGCTGATGTGAAATAAAAAATATTCTGCCAAATGTTAATATTTGGGGCTAAAATATTCACTAGAAGTCCAGGTTGCCCTAATTTAACAATATGAAACATGATTTTATTCCTGCTGACTTTCTATTACATAATCCTTCATTAAAAGATCTTAACCCTCTGGTGTGCTCAGACAGATGGTCCTGGCTGAGAGTCTGAACTCAGGGGGAACCCGTCCTCCTGACTCCAGTTTGTTTTTGCTACTATGTGATAAAACAAGAGACTGACTCGTGGCGAATCTCGTGGTCGACTGGCAGGACGCGTGCTTTCCCAGCAACACGACATATGCATCTCCCAATATGGCCGCTCCATATGGGCGGCTGGTGTCAGAGCAGGAAGTGACGTGTGAAAAAGGAAAGAAGGGGAGCTCTGGTGTTGCGGGTGGTGTGACAGGAAGTGGCGAATACAGAAACGGTGGACTGAAACATGCGTGTCCAAACTGACACGTGACGTTACATAAATGTGACGACTCATCAAAGGGGCAGTTTGAAATTTCAGGAGTTAGAATAATCCAGGTGTTTTGGATTATTGTACAAAGTAAAAAAACAATCAGATGTCGCTCCAGTGACTCGGTCATCGTGCAGAGAGGCTCCGCCTCCTCCCTCCTGGCTGCAGTCCTCATTATGCACCGGGGCTCGGCGAGTTCAGCCGGTGGCCTGCTGCAGACGGTTGGATCAAAACACTCACTGCAAGCCTGAGATTTCCATGTGAAGCTCCGTGTGTTGGAAACCAACATGTTGTCCTGCTGTCACAAACATGGACTACATCACCATGACGATAAAGCCACCAGTGAAAATAGTTCCCAGCATCCTTTTCTTCCTTTAACCAGCTGCTTGAGGACACTCAGGAACCTTGAACGTTTGTAACTGTGGGACTGGCTCTGCGTGTTGTTGATGTCAAATGAAGCTCATAAATTAGAAAGCGAGGAAACGTTGCCTGCAGCGAGTCGCAGATGAAGGAAATATTGGTTTCAGTTCAGGTCAACACATCGATTTCGTTCGATTTCACGTGTCGAACTTTGATGAAACAAAACTTGTTTTCATGTGTTTGATCAGCTGACTGATCCATGACTCTGGTGGCCTTCAGCCCTGCAGACAGGCCGATGTCATGGAGGGTATCCATGGTAACTGTGGTGAAACCCGCAAACTTGTGCTCGACCAAAACGCTCTGTGTAACGAGATACCAATAGAACTACATTAGAATAGGATTCTGTTAGATTTCCTGCCGTATTTGGGGGAAACTGTCTTCTTTCATCCAATCAACAGAAAAGGAAAAAAGGAATTTACCTGGCGTGACATTAAAACCTAAATTTTATTCAGTGCTGGAAAAACGACTCACTCACGTCATTTAAAAAAACC